TTCATTTATGCATTATGTCAAAGAGTTAGCAGGCATAGAAAAAAGGATTCATATCGAAATGAGCTTTTCTCACATTCAACAGTAATATGCATTTAAGAAAAAAAAACAGTAATATAAACATTAGGAAGCTATTGGTTCATCAGTTTATAGCATGACAGAAGAAATTAAGTCAACCACAAGAACACCAAGATTTATAAGAATCACACATGGTTTTCAGTTGGTTCACCACTAACCACAAACCCTTTCACTAACACGTCATCTTAAATGTCACAGCTTCACTTTAAAGCCTGTGACACAAGTCCTAAGCTATGTAGTGTGTGAGATGTGAGCAGATAAATGTATTTTTAACCTCTAGAACTAGCACTTACAGAGGGAGTACATATAGACTTGGCTTGTCCATTGGACCAAATGTTGGATCTGGATACATTTTCTCACAAAACACTTAAAAGGTTCATGGTGTTATGTTCCAAAACTTGAACTGATGGGGATGTGGATATTTTTAGACTGAGTTTTATAACGGGTAGATTCTCTCGGCTTTAATTTGAAATGTGAAATGCAGTCACCTAGAATGCTCTTCCTTTATCTCATATCTGCTGCACTTGGAGTCCACTATGTGTGAACTAGTCCAGTGTGTATGAATCCTCTTACCCTAGGAGTTCTATGTTTGCCTAGACTAGACCTTTGGGAAGATATTCAAGCTTGCTGAGATCTTCCATGTAGTTTCATCCAACAATACTTAGAGCAGTAAAATCTTAAAATGCTCAATTCTAAAACTAAGAAGGTTTTTTCCTATTGGAATAAATGGATTCTGTGAGGTTTTCTAATTATGATTACATAATATATAGATGTCTTAATGATATCTTCACTATTTGATCTCAGCTGAACCATAATATTGAGAATAAGATGTCTCTAGATCACCATAGACATGAACATGAGATCACTTCTTCACTCTTTCAAATTTGCCAAATGTCAATGATATTTATCTAAAAGATTGGTATATGATACTAATAATATATATACTATATAATAGCCAACAAACAATATAGAGATAGTTTTATACTTTTTTTCCCAAAATATTGACTAGTAATACCATATTAGAAAAAGACCTTATATCTAACATGGTTTGACTAAGCCTTGCCAATATTGTGTTGGGGGAGGGAGAGACACCAAACCAATGATCATTACAGGTTGAATTGAAAACATAAAACTCCAAATTATTCACTAATCATACATTAAAATATGTTTTTTTTGCTTAGCTATAAAAATCCCTGAATACTACTCATAGAAGTTCTATCAAAGCAAGGAGGATATATAATTATTACGTCATCCACACTTGTGACTTGAAATTTAAATAGGTGCAGTGATCGCATGCCCATTACCAACTGTGTGAACTATCCAGGTTGTGATGCTGATGGCATGTTTGACAGATGGTCTAAGACCTGAAGTTCAAATAAAGTTCACTGATCACATGCCCAACTGCCTATATCATTGGTGGTGCTTTGCCTTTTGATCTTGTGGTTTGCTGCAAGCTCCTTGAGAATCCACATCAGAAAGACCATTCTCGAATGCCCTAACCAAGTTCTCAAAGAAATTTCGGGTCACCGATGTCAGTCCAGCTAGCTTTTTGCGGAAATTGTTAAAGTCATCAGAAGGGCCTTCAGCATCAAGGAAAGGTTGTAGTTCCTTCTCTGCGCATTGATGAAGCCTTTCTAAGCCAGCCTCCGCATCGCCTTGCAAGTACTCAAATAACTGCCTTTTGGCATGTTCATGCTCAGGTATGTAGTATCCATATGCGTAGCTCCATGATAGAACCCGCCTACATTCAACTATCTGTAACCAGGCTTCTATGAGGAATTTCAATTCAGCTCTACTTTGAGCCTGTTTTATACCAAGTTTGTCAATATGCAGAGTTTGCGTCAGATGTAAATCTGCTAGAGCTTTCTGCCTTGACGATTTGTTGGTTGCCCAGCGTTCATAATAATGAGTATATCTCTGTATATAATTCTTTGCCTTCATTCTCGTTGCAGCTTCATCATCATCTCCCTTGTTTTCCCTATACTGATTACATGAAGCCTGACAGGTTGGATATTTCCGAAGGCATACCCAGCAAAATTCAAAGCCACAAGGTGCCCTGCATGTCATGTGCATACAACCATGATTTTTCTCAATTGGTCTCTTGCACTTCGGACAAGGCTTAGTAAAAGCCAGGATCCAGTTGGTGTTTTCAGCTTCAGAATTGTTCTTTGCTATCCACTTGGCCACAGTATCACAGTCCAGCGGGCGATGGGCTTCCTCTATGCAATTCCAACAAAAGCTGTAGGAGCAGAGGCATGAAACGTCGTAGTTTCCACTTCCAAGATCATATTCAACGGCATAGTCACATCCCGGGCCAGGACACCACTTGATCTTTCTGCTGCCTTCAACATAAGATCGAAGAAGATACCTAGAATACTTCCTCTTGTCTTCATCAGAAACCATCATATCAATCATATCTTGCCCCACAGCAGCAACACACGATGGGTCGGGACATTTCAGCATCAAGCAACCAGGGCCATCACCAATGGATGTACTGATGTACGTTCCCCAGCATGTACTGCAAAAAAGGTGCCCACAACCTGCATTTTTCATCAAATCAGCGGGACGCTTCTCTAAACAGATCCAACAGGTCAGTTTTCTCTTGCTCCGAAATCGAACAATCGGGTTTTTCAACAAACCAACAGCTTCGCGGACGCCATCTTCATCAGCAAACCATGCCTCGTGCACGGCACTCACACTCCAGTTATAGTGACGCAATAGTATGGATGAAGCTGTTCTTGTTACAGAAAGAACAAGAGAAATACTTACAATATCATCATCTTGACGCTGGCGTATATCGTCTTCGTTCAGGACTTTATAGGGTTGCTGATCGCAACTGGCCGAGTTGTCATCGGTGTCGTAATTGTCGGTGTCGTCACCGCAGCCGCCGATGTTGTTGCCGTTGGAGTCATCGCTGAGAGATTTGGCGTCGATCACAGGGAACATATCATCCTCCGAATCCATGGAAAAATACTAAAAAGAAAGATGACTCTGGACTCTGTGGCCGGATAGGTAATAGCCAAACCAAAGCCGGCAACAAAAATAATTGTATAGGAAGACCTTAGTATATAGAAGGAGACTTATAAGCGAAGCGATTGTAAAAAACAAAACCCTTGATTGACAAAAACTCGGTATATTAGGGATTCGATTGATAAAAGAGTTAATCCGTTATGAACTCGGATCAAGAGACTTTCATGGGTTTGTAAGATCTCTTAAAAATTAAGAGATGCCACGTGGAAGTCATCAACAGCAACATTAAAACAATTTGGGAATGGGGAATACCCAAAACTTATCGGATAGGAATTTTGATTGGGAATGGGATTTTTATTTTTAAATTCTGGATTATCAGTAGTTCAAGTTGTGAATCTATACTATATACTAAAAATAAGCAATTAGAGAGAGTCTTCTCTCCTCAATTTTTTTTTTTAATTTTGAATTATTTAATTGCCATCCTTCAATTGGATTTTGACATGTGGCCTATGTAATCGCTTCAAACTTTTTGACAATATGACATATTTTAATTTACCTCCACCTATATCATCTACTTTACATTTAAATTTTTATAAATTATTTATTCAGTATATTAGTAACGAATTTTTTAATAATGTTAGAACGAGGTGGAGGTAAAGGTCGTCATGGAGGAGGGAGGTGGGAATAGGTGTGGTGATGGTGATGAAATGATATTACAAATTTCGTTGATCATACAGAACTGTTATTAGTAAGATTACTATTGTAATCAAATTTTCAGACATGGTGGATTCTCTAAACCATGACTAATGTTAGTAATCTCATATCTATATTACTTAGGTATTTAAAAAGAAGGACAAAATCTCAATATTAAAAATTTTGTCCCCTTTAAACATCTCTCCCTCAAAACTAATAATTCATCTTTACTAATTCTGAGGTTATTGCTAACTATTTTTTGTATTTATGGAAGCCAAGCGATACGATAATATTTTTTATTTAAAATGGAAAAACATAATTTGTACTTTTATTAGGGGATCAAATCTCAACTGTAATTGTTAGATTGAAAATGAAATTTATTTAATATTAACATTTACAGTTAGATTAATGATAACATTAAATTAAGTCTATAATTAAATTCTTATAACATTGTTGTTTAAAGTATGGTTCAAAAGCTTTTCTGGGCTATGTACCATCATAATTCTATCAATCACTTGGGTAGAAGGCAATATCTTTTACATAGATCACCCTAGGCTATCCTCCTAAATTGATTTCACTCAATGTGTTCAACCAATATTCAATGACTTTCAAACTAAACTCTGTCACTGTAGGTTAGGTTAACATATGAATAGAAAAGGAGAGCCTGATGACTCGGAGAATCCAAAGGAGAATATAAATGTAAGTATTAAAGTCAATTAGTGGTACAGATCCGAGACAGACATGTAAAAAAAAGTATAATTTAACCTTAAAATATTTTACTCTTTTAATATAATAATCACTTTCGGTATTGTAGTCGTTTCCAGCTCCGCCCAAGATCCTTCACTGTACAAAGTTTGTTTGGGGTATTAAAAGATGAGATTTGACTAAATTAATATTTTTCGTCATTTAATATCAAGTTATAAGTCCCGATATTAAAAATATTTTAGTACTGATCGAATGCTAAAGTGTCATATAACACACTTGACTTGCATTGTCCCTCGAACTGGAACCTGGCCCCAAAGATCCAAACTGTTTTAAACCACCATGCTAACGCATGACAGAGGGGTTGATATAATAAGTGATATTAAATGAACATGATTGGTATTAACCTCCAAAATGAGAAGACTATTCTTATAAGCTAAAGGATTATGTATTAATTTAAGGGTTTTTTTTTATCCTTTTGAACTTAATACCTCATCTAAATATGATATTAATATTAGAATAATGAACCCACATCTTATACTAACTTTGATCCAAACATGATATAATGTAGATTTATTACTAATAAGGATTGGAACGGAATGAATTGTTCAATCCTATCTTGTATTATTCCCAAACCAAACATGTGTTTAAACCATGGAAAACCATGATATTTTGTGTTGTTTCTGAGTATTTTTTTCAAAAAGAAAAAAAAATATTGAAAATCTTTGCCAAGTATTAATAATTCTGAGTTGAACTAGAAACGAATTTTGATTGATACACATAAATTCCATCCTAAAACACTAATAACTAGAAGAGTAATATAATTTATACTAAATTTGTTGACTTAATTTATTAAAACTAATAATTTAGGTGTCAATAGATTTGTACTAAATTAATAAATTAGGTGTTAATGGATTATTATAAGTAGGAAAGATAACATGCTTAACTAAGATTGGTAAGTTTGTGAGGGATGGCAATCTTGACACGAGCAAGTCATGACATCAGTTATGGCTCCTCACTGTTCCAATGAACTGCAGAGACAGCTAAAAAGAGGCAAAGCCAGTTTGGAGTTGGATTTTTTGGCTGCGAGACAAGAGGTTTAAAAAATAAAATAAAAAAGTCAGACTTCAAAAAATTCTTAAAATCGTTTAGAATTTTTTTAAAAAATCGATTTTTACTTGAAAGTCCTAAACTCCTTGGTTCTTTTTTTTTTGTTGGTTTTTCCTTAATATTAATAAAAGTTATTTTTGTCCAAAATATTAATGAAAAAACCACCCAAATGCCCAATAAGTCCAAATCCAAATTCAAAGGAATCAAACTTTTTTACCTATTGAATCAAAAAACACTAAAGTTTTCAGTCGGGTACAACTCAGGCCCATATTTTATAGCTATCAGAAGTATAATGACAAACCAAGATAATCCGGATCCATATAAAAGTGAAGACATATTTTGTAGTAAGGATCGTTTTTTTGTGTGTCTGGGGAAAGTACAAGTTCAAAAAAAGTCAGAAAAGGGAGGATTCAGTACTGAGCTGGATGGATCTCTGAAGAGCGATCTGATTCTCAGAGGATATATTGGAAGTGGAAAGGATTAGGATGAAGAAAGGTTAGAGATATAAAGAAGAAAGGGTCTTTCTCTCTCTCCTCTGTTTCTGCGTCTGCAATCGTATCCCAATGACCCAAAAAGATCACGAAATATCTGTGACCCGATATTATTACGATTTCTTACTCTTTCCCATTCTTCATAGTCATACACGAATGCATATGTGTGCTCTCTTTGTTCACTATATATTATAGCCCCCCCCCCCCCCCAACTCTCTCTCTCTCTCCAAAACACAGTTCATAGTTGTACCTTTGGGTGGTGTGGTTTTGTCAGAAACTCAGAATACGTTTTGTTTTTGTGTCTGGTTTACCATAGGCAGTACTTTGGTTTCTTCTTCAAAGGATTTGTGGGTTGTTTGGTTATTGGGAGAGAAGAAAGAAAAATGGCTTCTTCTTCTTCTTCTTCATCATCTTCAAAGGGTTTGGATGAAGAAGAGAGACCTCATGTTTTAGCTGTTGATGACAGTTTAGTGGACCGCAAATTGATTGAGAGGCTTCTCACCAACTGCGCATGCAAAGGTATTTAATTTCTCCTCTCAAGTCTCATCTTTTACCTTTCATAAATACATTCTTCTCCATCTTTATTTATTTATTTTCATTTGCTGTCTTCATGTTAATGCTAGTGTTTTAATGCTAACCCCACTACTCATATACTTGATGTGCTCTACATACATCTCTTCTTCTATATATAATTTTGTTGCCAAATGTGCCATGGTGAACAATCAATATAATAGAAAAAAAAAAAAGAACAATGAAGAACAACGAATACGAGACTTAAGCGGCTTGATAGAAATTATACCTATTTCCACCGGTGCGGTTTTGCCTTATATGCGGATCCCAATGTGGTTATAACTTAATCTTGGTCAATCGCTTATTGGCCCATTATTTTTTTGGGCATAATGAATATGAACCATTTATTATTTTAAATCATTTTTGATATAATTATTGAATTATTAACTATAATTCTCGATGTTAACGTAAAATTATCTATGGATGGCGCATCGTTGTGGCAGTGACTACAGCAGAGAACGGGCAGAGAGCATTGGAGTTTCTGGGTTTGGGAGATGGACAACACACTGTTGACAACAGTGTAAGTGCTGATCCTTTCCTTGCAGCTCAGACCAAAATGAAAATCTATCAACCTCAGTGTTATTCTAAGATATGCAACTTTAATTTCTCATGTCATCCTGGCAACCACATGAATATCGTGTGTTTGTTTTAGCAATGTTTTAGAGACATAATTTGAATACTTAATTACGAACCTAATTTAATGTATTCATTTGATTAGTCGCGAATTCCAATGTTAAACAAAATTCACTTTCTTGCAGGACTTGAAGGTAAACTTGATAATTACCGACTACTGTATGCCAGGAATGACGGGATATGAGCTACTTAAAAAAGTTAAGGTAATTTAATTCTTAGATTCACTTCTACTGTCCCTTATTTTTCTTTGGCAACCATGGTTAATCAACAGTCTGAACTGATTGATGACTATTGCATTTGAAGAATATAATTATTCTTTGTTTTTTTTTTTCATTTTCTTTAACAGGAATCGTCTAACTTGAGAGAGATACCTGTAGTAATTGTGTCATCTGAAAACGTCCCAACCCGAATCAACAAGTAAATCACTCGCTTATATTATAAACTTCAATCTCTCTCTTATATGACGTTTATGAATAGAATGGTGATGTTGATCCATATTTATTTATGTTCTTCCTTTTTTCCCTACTTTTTTTTTTGGGGGACTCAAATAGGTGTTTGGAAGAAGGAGCTCAAGAGTTCATGCTAAAACCTCTCAAGCAATCGGATGTTAAGAAACTGAGATATTACATGATGCGATTAGGCCAACCTTGTAATGGGATGCTTTGCATGGGAAGGTAAACGAAGCAAAACCCACAACACCACAGAAAGATACTGATCAGAAAAGCTGAAGGAGCAACAATGAAGACAAAGTGACCAGAAAGTTGTTCCATCAACATGTCAAACCTTTTTTTTTAAATCATCGGTAGGAATTAGGATTAACCCTTCATGAACATATCCTAATCGTTTGTTGACTGTGTTTTCATTTCTCTCTTTGCTAACATAATCCACCAATTGAGTCAATCTAATGCGTTGTTTGGTACGACAAAAAAATAGATAGATGAAAAATTAAAAAAATAAAAAGTTTGAAGAACAGATAAAACATCATATTTAATAAAAAAGAAAAATTTAAAGGATACAAAAATTGATGAATTCGTTTTCCTTTTGACTCGTTAAAATCATCCCTTCCAAATTAGAAGGAAAAATGGGTGAAAATTTAATTATGTGTGTTGAAATGTATGTTATTTGCATATATATTGTTTAATATATACATATATTATATTTATCTATTAGAACATCTCCAACCATGATTTAAAATTTTATTCAAATTTAAATTAACCTTTAAGTAAAAAGTTTGATTTGATATAAAAAAATTCTTATAGATAAGTTCAAATTTAAATAAGGAAAAACCCAAATTTAAAAAATAATAAAGATAGTAATTGAATCTTCAAAAGAGAGTGAAATCTCAGTATTAAAGATTTAGGTAAGGATTTGAATCTCTCATAATTTGAGTAAAAAAATAAGTCTTTCTAAATTTTGGTATAAATTTGAGTTAAATGTTGGAGTAAGTTTTTTGGATTTTTTTACTCAAATTTAAATTTGAGTCTAAATTTGAATCAAAGTTAGAGATGCTCTTATGTATTATGTATACATTAATTTCATATATATATATATATATAATGATAAAATAGATATTTAAACTTTTTTTATTTCTACTAAACATAAAAAAAATTAATTATTCCTATTTTTTATCTCTCCTATCAAATACAAAGAAGGTAAAGAAGGATTTCTCCCTTAAATGATAGAAAGAATATTGTTCTCATTTTTCATCCTTCAATTTTTTTGTCCATTCTACCAAACACACCATAAGTATTCAGGTCCATTTGGTTTTGGGATTGTACAACTTTGGTTAAAATACAGGTTTAAATGAAGTTGAACTTGAATGGTGAATTCACGCTAGGTTTAGGTTAGATTCTTCTTAGGGATTTAGAAGTCGGTACAATTTTTTAGACTTAATTGAGCAAAAATATGACACAAAATCTTATTTGGGTGAAAGTGTATATTTTTAAAAAATGACAATATTATCATTTGGTAAAAACATATCAAACAGTTACTCATGCGTTATAATAAGTCAAACAGTTACACAAAATAATTACACAAAATTATGATACCAATCCAATTTGTTATTCCGTTGTTTATATAAACTAAATAGTTACATCATTTAGTACAACGACATTATTATACTATCATGCCTTAACAATTGCATGAAATTGTGATTGTTATACTCATTAAAAAAATAGTTACACTTATTAAAAAACAGTTACATCTATTAAAAAAATAGTTACATCCATTAAAAGACAGTTACACTATTAAAAAAATAATTACATCCATTAAAAAACAGTTACACTCATCACAACAATAGTTACACTCATTAAAAAAAACAAAGAATTTATTTTTTTCCTATATCCCAACAATGAACAATACATAATATATAACAAAACATCTTGGTCAATTCTCTTTTTTTTTTTTGAAAAATTCAGTGTTTATTCATATAATTTGTGACGTTCTAATCAAATCTCATTACCATAGAACCCTGTTGTCGAAGAAGAAGAGTTTTGATTATTAATGCCCCTATTTTACCTCTCATTACTATTATTAATCTTCACATATTTATTTCTTCAAATAACTGCTAATAATGACTGTATAATTTAAGGAAGCGTGTTTAAGTAAAAATGTTTTTAATTCATTTGATTTTTGTACCTATACACAAAAAATTTTATAAAAAATTGTACTTAATAGAGTAAATAATTTATCCATACAATTTTGCTCAAATAAGTCTAAAAAATTGTATCTACGTTCAAAAAACCCTTCTTATAAATAAGAAACAACAACTGGGTACTGTTTGAAAATTAAAATGGACTGTAATTTTGTTTTTTTGTCCAAACCCAATCCATGCAAACGTGGAAAAGATAAATTTTTGACCCAAAATAAATAATACGATTATCTTAATTTCAACCAAATTCAATGGATTGATAATAAAGTTTTAGAGAGAATTACATTTTACACCCGTAGAACACCATGTCACCATACAAACATAGTATATTGGAGAAATATGTGACCCGAATTGAGAAGTGTTGCACCCCAAAAGATTAAATTTTGTACATTGTACTCTTAGAACTTGTTTGTTTGTCGTATTATAAATAGATGGATCGGATAAAATAATATAGTCTAATACAATACATATAGATAAAAGATAATATTAAATAAGATATTAAAATAATACGTAATTTTATATAGTATTTTTTTTAAAAAAAAGGGTGGGGGGCAAAAGAGAGCGCTCAAAGATTACTCTGGTAGGCCCTCACTGAAGGGATCATAAGGCTATTGACCGCAACTGAAACACCTCTTGGAACCAGACCTAATTAGGCTAACATAGCGACTAACCAGCAAGCCCTAATGAGGTCTTCAGGACTCGAACACCCAATATTTGAGTGAGGAGTAAGGTCGGTACCACCACTAGACCACCCTAGTGTTTGATAATACACAATATAATCATTTGATAGTAATTATTTAATCCAATCACTTGTTTGGTTATGACATTATTTCATGATATTAGTATTAAATTAACAAAAATACCTTCAATCAGTATTTGTTACATTGATGACAACTAAATTTTATCAGTTGAGAGGTTATAATAGTAAATGTGTAGAATAATACGTTTGAGTTGAATTATAATACCACCTCTCTTGGTGGTATTAAAATTTCTCCATAATACAACTCTATCGTATAAAAAATATACGATAAGTATACGATCAGTATATATTTTTGAAATTGACACAGTATCAAATTTGTTTATCAAATAAAGTATTAAGCTCTATTAAATAAAAAATAATATAATTTAATATTTAATTCTCTTATAATACATCTAACAAACGAGTCTTTAATGTATTAAAAGTGATATAACGTAATATTTTCGTTAGTTTCTGTTATTAGTTCCGTCAAAAATAATCCCGTTTACATTGCCTGATCGGTCAAGTAGTCCCATAGGCCCCCGGTTAAGACCAAGGACAAGTGGACTCACTGCAAATTACAAGCCCAACAGCCAAGTATAAAGGGAGATCCAAAAACGCGGTGCCATAGCCCATAGGAAGGGGAAAAGCCCTAAGACATGTGGACTCACTGAGCAAGACGAGCCCAAGAACAGTCCGAGAGGCGAAAAGGGAGGGGGCTGGCTGGGCAATATCGTCATTTCACAATAAAGAGATGGGGGCTCTTAAGTCTTTTGGCAAGGGAGAGGTGAAAACCCTAACATCTCCACTAAGCCACTATAAAACCCGAGTAGGAGAAGGAGATGGATTATAACCCCCGCAGTGTCCACAGTCCAGCCCTCCGAATCTCTCTTCTCCATCATCTATTTTGATGAGCGTGAGTAATCTCTCGTTTTGCTTTTCGTCTAATTTTTGAGAAATATATGAGAGTTTTGTGTTGTATCAAGTGTCGTACTCATTTCGCCGATTCTGTTAATAAGAAAGATTAGATCTGTGTACAATAAGCCGATGCTCTGGATTGTTTTGAGATGAAGGAAGCATGGTAATGTGCACAGAGATTGAATTTGAAACGGGTCATCATGTCTGCCCTCTCTGATTCCTTTCTCCTGATGAGAGGGCCTGGATTAGACCCACATCTTTATTTTCTCTATCTTTCTTGAGTTTTTATATTTAAATATATATGCAACCATGTATTTTTCTGATTGTATATATTCAAAGTATATAGTACTGTATATAATCTTCTGCATGTGTTTTTCACTTTTTATTTTCTGGAAAGAAAATGTATTTTTCCATGGGTTAGGTGAAATTTTTCCTAAAGTTGAATTACTTTTCTATTTTTTGTGTTTTGAAAGGGCTGTTAATTTTTGACTCAAATACGAATCTGACTTAAACGAACTCGACACGAATCTGAAAAAAACACGATTCATTGCCACGAGGAATAAATGTGTCAAATTAAAGTTTGACACGAATAAGACGATTAAACGATTAATGAGTATTGTAGATAGAAAATAATTATTAATGAGTATTTTAGATAGAAAATAAGAATTTTATAATTTTTTAAATAATATTATTTTAGTTGTTGTCAAATTAAATAATTTTTTATTAACATGAATATTGATACAAATATGACACATACTGAAAGTGATATGATACGAAAATAATACGATCAAAAGTGACACGATTGACACCCTTGAAATCTGATAGATTGATGAACATGAGAGATTTTTTTAAAAAAATATAATTAAATATTACATTATCGATTTTAGAGAGTCTGCTTCATCAGAAGTTTATTTCAATTTCCCATTCTCTCTATTTTAATTAATTATTTTATTTAACTTTTGCTAACTTCTAATAATTTAAAAGGGATTGCAACATATATGTGGAGAGAAAAAGAGAATTTTTAGATGCCAAATGACTAGAGCTATTTGGGTGAAATATAGAATGAGATAGAAAGCGAATCGGAGGATATTTTTAGTATTTTGCTAGCTAAAATAACTAAAAAAAAAAGATAGAGAGTGAGTTGGAGTTCCTCTTAAAATTTTTGCAGCAAATCAACAATAGCTTTGTGTGAGATTTTAAGATGAGTAATACTATTTAAACTTTAGAAATTGTTATTTGTAAAAATATTTAATCAATCACAATTATTAAATTAATAGTAAATTTTAATAAATGCAAGGGAAAATTTTATCCATATTTCTTATAGTTAGTTTTAAATTCAGTGATATTTCTTCTTGATTTTGAAACTTTACTTGTTTATCTAGTTAAGATGTTAATGGCGATGGTCGATTTATAAAAATACTCTTGAGAATTTAATAGGATAAAGCATTCCCTGTAAATAAATTTAACATTAACAACACCTAACTCTAATAACACTCTCACCTAATTTTGATAATTTAATGCACTCTTTTTGAGTTCTATTATATTAGTTTTTAGGTTCATCAATTTAATATTTAATTTTATTAAATAAATATCTTTTATTTAATTTAAATTAAATTAACATTTTTTTCATCAAATCAACACAAAATTGATTTTTAATTTTATCAAATTAGTATTTAGTTATATTAATATAATATTTTATTTCATCAAATTAATATTATCTATTTAATTTAACATTAAATTATTATTTAATTTATCAAATCAATATTAAATTAACATTTAATTTTATTAAATTAAAATTTAATTAAGTAAAATTTTAAATTATATTAATTTAACATTTAACCCATTTGTTTAATGTAACAGCAAATAAACATTTAATTTCATTAAAGCAATATTCAAATTTGTTCAACTAACATTAAATTTTATCAAATTTATACTAAATTAATATTTAATTTTATCAAATTAACTCTAAATTAATATTTAAATTTATCAAATTAAGACTAAATTTATACAATTAATATTAAATTTATCAAATAATATTTAAATTTTATATATAAAAGGTGATGTGTAAACAGTGGTCGAGTAATGTTGTAGAGGATAGGCGGTAGCAAAAAAGTTAAAAATTGATGAAATTTTAACATTGACTTTATTGATTATAAATTTTATTATAAAAAATTATTTTTAACTATAAAAATTATAAAAACTTGATTATGTAACCAAATAGTAATAATATGATGAATAATATTATAACAAAGTTATCGTGCAACTCTTTAAAATAATAAAAATTCATTGTGATAACATGATAGAAATCATGCTTGTTGGCTGGCTAGGGCATACATAATGGAAAAAGAGTTGAGTGCACTTTAGTCTATTTACATAATAAAGGATAATTTTGGCATTTTTACAGAATGTGTAGTTAAATCACTGCTTTATCTATTGGCAAAGGCAGAAGTTACTGTTAATTAGGTATCATTGATTTGAAAGTATAAATCATAAGAGGTGCAATGAATTTCAAAATCAGAAGAGGGTGTCATTGAATTTAGACGTAATTATAGAGGTTGTGGATGGGGTTTTTCCTAAATACTATTAAACGAATGATAATGACAAATTATGTCATTATTTTAGGTCTAAGTAAAGAATCTTACTTAATCTATTAGAGCATCTCCAAGAGATGCTGTAAAGCACAAAAATAACTAAAATTTAACTAACCAAAGCGAAAAATCATACTCCAATAAAATATGTTCAGATACTCTAAAATAGATTTTTTAGAATATCACTGTAACAATATGTAAAATTTGTTTATAATATTTTCTCTCTCTTCCTTTCCTTTCTTTAATTCTCTCAATTACTCCCTTTTACTATTCCCAAAATAAAATAATACAAAAGGAACGAGAAATAATATTTAAAAATGAGTAGTTAAAAATATAGAAAATTTATTAGAGTGTATATTAAAAAAATGAGTAGCTAAAATAAAAAATGTTACTTTTGAAGTAGCTAAAATAGATTTTGTTGTTGGAGATGCTCTTAATAACGTAGTTTTGTTACAATTGTTTAATTGGATTTATAATTAAATTAATAAATTATGTAAATAAATTAAATCTAAATAATATTATTTTTTCTAGAGTTTATAAGTGCAACTAGAATCTCATAGGCACAAGCATTCCCCTAAGAATTTTGAGAATTTTTCAGTCAATTTCAATTATCTAGTTAGTTCCTTGCAAGTTGTCACAAGGTATACGAGAGAGCACGCAATATTTATATTGTAAATAATAATTTATTTTTTTATTAATTGTGTAATTTAAAATTAAAATAAACAATTAATTTTTTTTTTAAGATCCTTATATCTCTTAGTAAGATTAAACAAGTCATCATATAAATTATTTATGACATCACACCTATCATTGAAAGATAATTATAAAGAGTGTCGGAGAGTCCTATCACTCAAACGCTAATGCAAGCATCGGAGAGCTCTGATCACTGGTTCCTCTTTTTGTGGTACTGTGAAATCCACAAGAAATAAAGAAGAAGGGGATTGGAATAGCACACACAAATCAAATTCAAATTTTCTAATATGTATTTTATCAAACAGATTATAGGAAAGAACAATCTATTAAAGTTGCTCAACACACATATATTATGTATATCAAAATTTATAGTTTCACAATTCTAAAGTTGAAGAATAATCGAAACAAAACATGTAGAGGATCATAAAAAAAATTTATCATGTTCACAATATTTACTGAAAATAGGTGCATTTCAAAGTCCAAAAGACATCTTCTGCCGTAGGGGAGAAAGAGAGGAGAAGTAAGTGTAGATTAGTGGGAATTCTTTAAAATTGAAGAGTTTGTTGTTTGAGTTGATTAGTGGGGATTGACTCTTTTTTTTCCCTCATTTGCATTTTTGTTATTGTTTATTGTGAAAAATTAGATTAAAGTTAATAATTTGATCATTGTGAAACTCAAATGATTGTTTAAGGTGTAATTTGAAAAAGTGTGTGATTTGAGGGGTGTAATGTAATTTGTTCTTTCTTTTATTTTTGGTTTGAAAAAGGTAGATTTATTGATTTAAATTACAATGGTGGGTATTTCACCCTATCTTTACATCAGCCTAAAGTTGTTCATTAATGTAAGCAGGCATCTAGTTTTACCACCCAAAAAAAAACAATCTCAATTTAAATTACGTCCAAGCTGTGCCATCTTGTTTGCTTAAGCATCTGCTTCGCAATACCACACCCATATAGTACTTGGCTTGAATTTTGAATTAGCATTACAAATCCATAAGATTTTAAGACCACTCAGGATGACATGAAGAATTTCCTTCTCAACACAAAGTTTCGGAGTACAAAATAGAAACAAACTCAAAATGATCTTGGTTTTGCAACAATGGTGGAATGCTTCAGAATATGCAAACTGAACTGCCCACCCTTCTCTGCAGTATCTATCTTTGACTGTCCTGGAGGAGGCAACAGCTCAAAATTCTGCACCAAACGCCCTAAAGTGATACCAAGAATAGGCAATGCAAGAATAATTCCAGGGCAGCTCCTTCTGCCAACGCCAAATGGAAGGTATCGGAAGTCATTGCCACTCGCCTCAACCTTCGCCTCCTCTTCCAAGAACCTCTCAGGCCTGAACTCCTCCGGATTCTTCCAGTGTGCTGGGTTATTGGCAAGCCACCAAGCATTCACCAAGATTTTGCTCTCAGCAGGGATGTCATATCCCCCAAGTTTTGCGTCGTGTAGGTTCATGTGTGGCACCAGAAGAGGAATTGCCATACGAAGGCGAAGGGTCTCTTTGATCACAGCCTGAAGGTATGGGAGTTTGTAGGTGTCAGGCTCGGTGATCTGGTGTCCGGGTCCAAGCACAGTGTCAAGCTCATGTCGCAGTTTCTTCTGGGTTTCGGGGTGGTTAACAAGTTCTGCAATGCCCCATTCGATTGACCATAGTGTGGTCTCGATTGCTGTTTCATGACAAACATATTTAGCTCATTAATTTAACATAAAAATGCATAGAATGAGAGCATTTGAATTAGATAATAACACTAACTAATCATCAGGATCGTGACATTTTCCAGTTGTTTAATTACTTATAAATCTTAGGGAGACTTATAAATCACTCTTTTTCTCATCCTCTTCTATTCAAGTGAAGTGAGACTTTTATTCGTTAAGTAAATTCCATACAATTAAAGCCCGATGGTCTACTATAGTGCAAAGTTTAAGGTACTATATTTAAGGTGAAAATTTATTCTCATAAATATAATGACAAAATTAACTATTTTTTATAACAGATAATCAGGAAAATTATAAAAAAAAAAAAAAAGATGATGCAATGGTGAGAAAGTAAAAGCGTACCCGCTACGTTAATGTTCTCAACGATATAAAGGACGTTGTCCTCGTTGATCTCTCCCTTCTGTTCGGCTTCGAGGATATGATCAATAGCGCATTTTAGCCCACTGTTGTCCATTGGCTTTGTGCTTGCAAGCTTCCTGTAATATACAAAATAATAATAATTATTATCAATTATTATATAAATATATAACATATAATTACAAGTCCGAAAAGTGTAATCTAGAAGTCATCAGAAATAAGGTTTTAATTTTGTATTTTTGAACACTAGTTTATACACATTTTGACTAATCTCTCCTTGGTTCAGCCACAGCCACAATGGGACTAAAGTTTTAATTTTGTTTGAAAAATGTTATTTGTAGCTAAAATGCTGATGTGATTTATTGACTTAATCAATTGTAGCTATTAAATTAATAACAGATTTTAATAAATATTAGGACTTACATTTAAATCAATTATAGTGATTAATAACATAATATTTTATTTTGATAATTGGGACCCCAATCAACTTGTCCTATTATATTAAAATTGTTTAGTAAGAATTCAATTAAATGCATGATTTGAATGAATCCAACCATACAGACCATTTCAAAAAATAAATGAAATAAATTTTATTAGGCCCGTTAACACTCGCTCACACCATCCACTCACTGCCTCCTTGGATAGTAAACCCCTCTGAAAAGTTCAAAACTCTAAGTGAAATTAAGAATAATTTAAGTGATAACAAAGATGAATAGTAAATTACAATTCTTTTGCCATAGATTATAATAAATTTATTCTTTATAAATGGTCTAATTCCAATCCGACCTGCTTTCGTACACTTTTAATTATAGAATCAAAAAAATAAAAATAAAAAACTCCGAAGTCATTTACTAACGACAGGAAGTGTCACATTCGAACATGAACACTCACGTTACAAATAGTTTGCTGGCCCATTTGAAGACCATACATGGTTATACTATCCCATACATAATTCTTTTTTAATTTTTCCTTCACCAATCAATTATATTTAATTGAGATTTATTAAATATATAAATATGTCGCTTACTCATTATTATTAATAGATGATTCACAAAAATATAAATTAGGTATAAATAATATTATATTATTAAATAGAAATACCTTAAAAAACACAGAAGATTAGAGAAAAAATGAATATAAAAACTTGAAAAATTGAAACAGGAAAATAAAAATGATAAACTTACTTTCTCTCATCGAGGAAATAGTCTTTGAACAACTGCAACCTTCTCTCCTTCACTTCCTTGCAGATCGTCAAATAACCCCTCAAGAAAGGCCTCAAAATGGGAATAAAATCACCATAGTTGTACTCAAAGCTCTGCGCCAACCTACTTCTCTCTCCATTCAAAGCCTTGAGCTTCACAAACAACGGATCGTCCTCACTCTCAAACCTCCGATCAAACATTATCCTATACATATTATTATACATCATCAATTGCAACCTCCTCCTCAAAACAATCCCATTCTTCGCCGCTTCTGGGTTGTTCTTCACATCTTCAACCACACGCGCCGCCTCTTCCTCCCATCCCTGCCTATACTGCTGAACCACTTTGTTGGTGAAGAATGGAACAGTCATAATCCTTCTCATCTTCCTCCAATGTTCGCCGTAAACGGTAAACACCATGTCTTGACCTTTTCCGGTGAAGATATCGAACACGACGTTTCGTGTTCTTGAGCCGAACTCGACCCCTTGCGTGTGAAGAACTTCTTTGGAGAGCTCAGGAGATGAGACCACCACCAGATTGCGTTGTCCCATCCGGAGTAACAAGATTTCTCCGAATTTCTTCGCTAAATCTGTGAGGTTTCGGTGGTTTAAGTCATCGCCGACTTGGAGCCAGTTTCCGAATACAGGGATTGGGATGGGTCCAGGAGGGAGTTTGAAGCGCTTCCCTCGGAATTTAGAGACAACGGTGGCAACTATAATGGCAAAGAAGAGACCTAAAAGGGTCTTCTCTAGGAGAAGAAGATCCATGGCGGAGGCTGGTGGCGATGGGGCGGAGGAGAGAGGAGAATCGTGGTGGGTGTTGGTGGGAGAATTGGAGTGGGTGTGTATTTATAGATGGGTGTGGGGGGCATGTAACGGAAGAAGAGTTAGGTTGGGGGCAATTGACGGCGTTAAATTAGACGATGGCTTTGATGGTTTTTACGTTTTTTTGGGCAAGCGGAATTGATGGTTATGGTTTAGAAAATAGGAGAGAGCGGTGGAAAGGTAGGTGGGATGTTTGGTGAACCAATATGTCAAACTCAACTGATTAAAATCTAAGGATGTTTGAAGTAAGAACTCAGAAGTTTTTATAATGCATATTCGCCGGCGAAAATGATGGTCGTAACTTGTTTTACAATATTACTTACCAGTAATTCTCCGTGACCAAGTAATAATAAAAAAAAATTATGATCAATTAAAAGACATATTAAATAATTTTACATTGAGAATATTGGTAAATATATCTTTCATTACACCATAATCTACTATTTAAATATTCAATCACAAGTTCATATTGAATGTAATTATAGAATAATACTATTTGGACTTAAAAATATGACCTAATTTTTTGACATAATAATGTGGTTTCAATAGAACCATTTGATCAACATTAAGTTTCAATATTTGATGGACTCCACAGTCAATCCAAAGGTCATAGTAAATTAGATCAACAAATTAGGTCAATAAATTAAATTTCAATAGCAGTACTCGTAATTATAACTAAACATATGAATCTCATATCAAAATAGTTGGTGTAACAAACAAAATTTCATAAGTTAATATAAACAATATATTATTTAAAAAAAATCGATAGACTTCTCTTTAAAAACATAATCTTGTACACAATATCAACTTGTGTACAATTCATAATCAAACCTATACGTAAATAAAAACTATTTTGCATCAATAATCTCATCATATCACATATTGTTGTTATCACTATTTATGAATAACTAAGTATATTCATTCACCCTGAACTAACACAAAACTTAAAGCTAATATGAATAACTAAGTACATTCATTCATCCTCCATAAGTCAAATAATCGTCAATTAAAAAATTAAAATCCACTAAACAAAGTTGAAACTCGAGCGTTGGTTATTTTCAATTTTGTTGAAACTTATTGAGGTCACTAGTTTTTGACAGAACCCCAAAGTCATCGTTCTCACCAACTATGATCCTGCTTTAATAAAAAAATTTACTACCTGCTACAACATAGACCTACTAATATTCATGCAATTAATGACCAAACAACGAACTTTTTTCCCTGGACAACACATAAACCCATATGATACACATTTCTTATTAGTTATAAAAGAAAAAAAAAATTACAGTTTAACCATCCGTTTATTTTGCGTCAATGTTGATCAAGCTACGAAAGCAAGAGAATAAAAAAAAGAAATAAATAAAAGAAACCAACTTCAACATGAATACAAATCTTATTTCTTAAAAAAAAAAAATAGTGGATGATTTCTTGATATCCAACTACTATGTAGATGAAGTGAAAAATATATATTGAGATGGTTGCTAGCGCAACTTAGTAATCAAGACAATTGCAACCGTGTAACATATAAATAGAATTCTAATTAGGCGATTCTATTAAATTGATTCTTCAAAACATGTTATTATGTTAACTACTCATTGAATTTTTTACTCCTGCAATAAAAGAATGTCAATGAAATTAAATTCACAACCTCTTGTCAAACATGACATTTTTATCACTCAATACAAAATCAGGGAATAATCACTTATAATAAAAATGAGAATCAACTTCTAAAATGAACACTTACCGTAAGTAAGATTTATTTTCTTTTTTACTCGTAAAGATTGTGCAAGTAAACCAATAATCATAACCATGCGAGTCGAAAATGAAAATCCTACCTGATAACCTACCCAAAAAAACTTTCTCAATGTAACCCCAATATTTGATGTCAACTTTTGTTAATTTTTCCAATGCAACACTCCTTTTTTTTTTCCTTCTTTATCCAATTAGTAATCGGCATAGTTATTACACATTCCCAATTTCCATAAAGTACCCAAAAAAATTGGTGTAGTATCAAATTTCATTATTTTTAAACAAATCCATATTAATCTACTTCAAAAGCAATCGGTAGACAACATTAGATCAAAGATTTGATTTCAATTTCATTAACAAACCCAACTAAAATCCATATGAAGACATCAAATTGTTGATACGTATTTAGCCCGAAAAAAAGTTGAAAATATAAAATATTCTATGTAACTCGAAGAAGAAAAATATAACTGTCAATTGCTTTTCTGAAGACTTTTAACACATGGATGAAATTAGCCCATTGGCTAATCCATTGTGTATTTCTACAATTTTACGTATTTAGCCCGACAAATAGTTGAAAAAATGAAATATTCTATGTAACTCAAAAAAGAAAAATATAACTCAATTGGTTTTCCCAAAAATTCTTATAATCCACTATAATCCCCCTGATGACCGTATTGAGCTTTTATAGAAAAATTATGCAATCAAGTAAAGATAAACATAAAGATAAACATAAAAAGAGAATTAGAAACTAAAAACCCACTACCTGAAAACATTGTGAAGGAAGTGTTCCTCATGCATCCCCACGTTTGATGTCATTTTTTCCTTTCATCCAACACCATACAATTCAATCACCTGTTACCCAACACCGAAATTCATCAAACCACTACAAATAATTGATTGCCAAAAAACCCGGACTAACAGTTTTTTCATTTGGGTTTGTCAGGCATTTATACCCCCCAATCACACGAATTAATGCAAATACAAATATTATGGAATTTAAAACGACATAGAATAAGAGCTCCCCAACAGATTTTTCATGATTTTGAGTCAAACAACGCACAAAAAAAATTAATTATAAAGCTTTACAACAACTTTCGAACAGAGATTTAAAAAAAAAAAAAAGAGGAAAACAAAATCAGAGACAAAAAGGTGGATTTAGAAAAAAATAAAAAAATCAAAGACAAAGAGGTAGATTTAGAAAGTATTGGTAACTAATTTCCCATGATCATCGGTCCAAAATAAAGCCGGGAAAAAAAAAAAAAAAACAAGGATAATAAAGCTTTACAACAACATTCAATTCTGAGATAAAAAAATAGAGGAAAAAAAAAATCAGAGAGAGAGAGATTTACAGAGTATTGGCAAGTTAAATATCAGCTTTAAGAGAATCCTTGAACGACTTTACCATGGCCATGATTTTTCTAGAA